ACCATCTAAGTGACATTCAGCTGACAGTCTGGAGCAAGAAGTGCATCTTTATATTTTCATTTGTCATGGCTTGTTTCTTACAGATATTCATTCTATCCAGTGTATGAGAATTCTGAGAATACATTGCATTCTGCTTGTACTGGCCTATAACATCAATAAACTGAATTGAACACCCATATATTACTAAAAATGTGTTTAAAATGATATTAATGTAATGTCTTATTAAAAACTTAACATTTATAGTTGTTTGAACTTAATATTTGATTGTATTGCTACCACTTCGTTTGTGATCATTTGTGCAATGTCTATTGCTCTTGTCTTCCAGAATGTCTGCTTCATTTTTCCTCAGTTTTTATACCAGTTCTTCTGTGGATTTTCACAACAGGTATCTGAGAACATCTTCATTTTATGAACCAACATAAAATTTGTTTTTATAGTATTTTATTTAGTTCAGTAGTTTTTCTTCTTCAATATAGAGTTGAATGAAAACTGCTAGCTTTTTTTCCAGTTGGGGCTTTTTAGATCATTAAACTTGCATTAATTCTGGGTAGCAGTGGAGGAACATCAATGGAAACAATGAAATTATATTTGAATGTGAGCTTGGAAGGATTCCACATTTGCATAGACATAACAATCAATTTTTTAAATTTTTCTGCTGAAAAACTAGAAAGGAATCTCATAAATTAGTGGCTATTTCTTGAATTTAATGCAGAGGTTCCCAACCCTTTGGGCACCAGGGACCGGTTACATGGAGAGAGGTTTTTTCGTGGATCGGAGGGGGCGTGGTTTTGTATGCTGCCTGCATCCTGCAGATGGGGCTTGCTTGTTTGTGCAGACTGGTTGCTGGCATGCCACGGCCCGGTACGGGTCCACGGACCAGGGGTTGGGGACCCCTGATTTAATGTGTGAACACATTTCTAATCTACTCTTTTATCTATGTATTTTATTTCTTGATTCCTTATAACAGTGGTGGCGAACCTATGGCACGGGTGCTAGAGGCGGCACTCAGAGCCCTCTCTGTGGGCACAAGCGCTGTCGCCCCATCCTAGGCCTTCAGCTGGGTTTTATAAAACCTTTTTGCTTTAGGCCTCCGCCGCCGTGTACAAAAAAAAAGGTTCAATCAATCAGTCAATTTCAACTTCTCGCGGGGAAAAAAAAGATCTTGCAAAGTTGGAATTGATTGATTGAACTTTTTAGTCCCACCCAGTCTGCTGTTACCATCACAGCCACGCCCACCCAATGGGCCACACCCACCCAGCACCCGACGATGTATAAGTGGGTTTTGGGTTGCAGTTTGGCCACTCGGTCTCTAAAAGATTCGCCATCACTACCCTATAATGTAAGTAGTATAATCTTCACTACTTAAAGTATGCAAATTTGCAGTGAATGTTATAGATCAGTGATGGCGAACCTTTTAGAGACTGAGTGCCCAAACTGCAACCCAAAACCCACTTATGCATCGTCGGGTGCCGGGTCAGTGTGGCCCATTGGGTGGGTGTGGCTGCGATGGTAACAGCAGACTGGGTGGGACTAAAAAGTTCAATCAATCAATTCCAACTTTGCAAGATCTTTTTTTTTCCCGCAAGAAGTTGAAATTGACTGATTGATTGAACCTTTTTTTTTTTGTACACGGCGGCGGAGGCCTAAAGCGAAAAGGTTTTATAAAACCCAGCTGAAGGCCTAGGACTGGGGCGGCGGTGCGCGTGCCCAGAGAGGGCTCTGAGTGCCGCCTCTGGCACCCGTGCCATAGGTTCGCCACCACTGTTATAGATTCTTAAGCTCATGTACAACTGAAAGGTAACAAATCTTCAGCATTTCTTACTTTTGTAAGATACAAGTAGATTTGTCAGCAATACTACAAGACCACTCATGTTTATTTTTGTCCCCTGTTGTCACAAACCATTTTTTTTGTTACTCTTCTAATTTATGTGAGGTATGAAGCAATAATTCACAATGGCTTAGAAAGGTTTTGTTATTCAGATAGTGATTGCTGCATGAAACACAACACCAACTTTATGCCTGAAATAGCCAAAGCTAATCATTTTACATTCATCTTTTTTTAATGGATAAGAAATGTATTCTTTCGTGATTTCTATTGAAATGGGAATGCTTATTATTAATTGGATTTTGCTGTTTTCATACTTATTTATTATTTGTTTGTCCACAGCCAATTCAACTCAATTTTTTATCTAATCAGGAGTAGCATATGAATTAGAGTTAGCTGAATTGAAGAGTATGGTTACAATGATTAATACTGGTTATAACATTCATTAACTAGTAGTAATATAATATCTGCTAATTGGTGATTTCCAATTTCTTTTACTATTTTACTAAAAAAAATAATCTGTTTTTTTTTGTCTGCAGCCTTTATATGATACTGCGTATCTTACTCTGTATAATATCAGCTTTACTTCACTTCCTATTTTGTTATATAGTCTAATGGAACAACATGTGAGTTCTGAGACACTCAAAAGAAACCCTATACTATACAGGTAAATGCTCATTGTTTGAAAAGGCAGATGAGACCAGTTAATTCATATTCTGTTTCTGAAGGGTAGGCAAGTAATGAGTGTTGGAGCAAGAGATGTTATGTTAGTGAAATTTATTGTGTGCATATGTTAAATATTCCCAGCAGGAAAACAACACAGGAACTCTGTTTAGGATTTATTAATCAGCTAAAAATTACAGCCCACATACCAGTAATAATTATTGTTTATAATTGAAAAACAAGTGAGTTCAAAATTGCTTAAACACAAAACATAGTTGTAGTCTAAGCATTGTCACAGTTTCTCAGCTAAACTCAGTGATATAGGATTTATCAATAGAATCACTGATGAATAAATAATTTCAGTAATATATGGTAATTAATATTTACAACAATCACTTGGGAACAAATATCCAAGTATGCATGTTGTATTTAATCTGTAGCTACTTCAGAGAGAGGGGGGGAGGAGGGAGAGAGAGAGAGAGAGAGAGAGAATGCTTCTTGAAATGAAGCAGTATTCTGGGGACCTCTAGTGTTGTTTTTTATTACTTGTGTGCATGCTTTTGAGTAATTTTGACTGCAGACTGCCTGGATTAGTCCCTGAAATTTTCTTGGCAAGACTTTGAAAGTGGTTTGTTATTGCTTCCTAGGGCTATGAGTTGATCACAAGTTCATCCAATTAGCTTTGTGCCTAAGGCAGTACTTGAACTCACGGTTTCCAGGCTGGTATCTCAACTAAATTGGCTGTCTTAAAATAAAGTAAATCATGTATTGGATATATCTGAGTCTTCCTACATGAAAGAATTTAGAACAGCCTTGGTCATCTTGGTGCCCTGCAGATAAAATGATCTTCAATTCCCTTAATTCTCCCTAGAAGGGAATTATAAAAGTTGAAGTGAAACACTTCTAGTGGAAATTCTGGTTTAAGGCTCAATGAGCATAGGAATGCATGCTGGCTGAGGAATTTCTGGGAGGTGAAGTCATACATCTTAAAGCTAGCAAGTTTAAAAAACTTTGGTCTACATAAAGTTCATAGAAACATTACAGCATTCTTTTTTGTAACAAAAACATTTATTTTTCTTTATTTCAAATGTAAAAAAAAATGAGTTATCTTATGTTATTATTCAGGGATGTTGCCAAGAATGCTCACCTACGATGGCGTGTATTCATTTACTGGACATTCTTGGGAGTTTTTGATGCTGTCGTCTTTTTCTTTGGTGCCTATTTCTTGTTTGACAATTCAACAATGACCAGCAATGGGCAGGTTTGTATCTAACTTTCAGATGCTGTTTTAGAGGAAATAATTGAATTGGTTTCTCTTTGGGTATATCTATGCTTGCATGTATTCTCTAAGGGTTCAGGCAGGATTTTTTTTTTTTAGCCATATTTAGAGAAATTGCAGAATTGAAACTGTATGCTAAGGCAAGTGTTCTTCCACTTCCATGTCTTCTGCACAATGTCTACAGAATGATTGAAGTACTCTGAAAAAATTCCAAGAAGCTAAATATGTTTACGTGTTTTCTATTTCATTAAATGCAATTCTAAGTTTCCCAGTTCTGCTCTAGTTATTATAATAGGCAATTTTTAAAATGGGAAGCTGGTCCAGGTGTTAACCTTTGAACTCATTTCATTGAGTTCAGACTGCAATTTACCCTTAAAGTCTTGGGACTATATTTCCTGTAGATTATCTTATTCTGATGTATCCCTGACATTCTTCTTCAGAAGTTCAGCTCCAAGCGTACTCAGATCAGACCTATTTATCCAGAACATCATGAACCATTTATAATTCACAGTATTTCCATTATGGCCAGATTGGCATGGTCCAAAGAAGAAAGACAATATTCCAAAATTCCCTAGAACATTCCATTCTCAGAACAATAGGCTTTGTACTTCCCGGTTTAACTCCATAAGGCCCCTGCCAAATAAAAAAAAAGATAGATGGCTTTAGACAGAAGTGATGATGATGATGATGGTGGTGGTGGTGGTAGTGGTGGTGGTGGTGAGGATGATGATGATGATGATTGAAATAAGGCTCCATCAATTGATTATATTTGTGAAGAAAATTACCCAGCATTCTATCAAATCCTAGACTGGATTTTAGGTGTGGAATCAACAAAAAGCCATCACTTTCTAGTTTTGTCCCTTGAAGAGAGAGTGAATTCTCTTCATTAACATATACATAGAAAGCCAGGAATCCTAGATTATCAGTATATGTTAACATCTTCACCTTTTCAATCCTTTAAAACTAATTTGTCTTTGAGAAAACGAAAGGTGTTGATTTATATTTTTTAAAGTATCTTAATAGAGAGCTTAGTTATGGTTAATTTCTATTAAGGACTATTAATAATTTTTTTAAAAAAATCAAACAAATTATAGGAGTTAATTGGGGTACCAGTCACTTGAAACATTTATTCAGTGAATTATACAACTTTAGTTAAGCTATTTTCAATATGTGATGTATTACATCTTCCACTTTAAAAATAGATATCATATAGTTAAGTACCATAATTAATTTGAAAAGAACAAAGTATATCCATTTAAATAAAACTCTATTTGTAGTTTTTGTTAAATACTGTACATAATTTAAAACATATTTTAAAGTCCTTCTGCTTTTATTTGCACATTAACATTTTGCAGTTTGTTTTATTTGTGTCTTGCTTTTTTCTTTTCTTCCTCCTTTCTTCTCTTTCTGTCTTCAGTTAATGACAGTCAACACTCACATGGTAAGACTGCTGTGGTTTTGTCATGATGTGTGTTTTTCTCTATTGCAATTCAGATATTCTTTTTTGCCTCTTATATGCTATGCCAAAATAATAAAAAACTTAATTTACTTTTAAAAAACAAAGAATTGTATGGGATTTAAAAAAATTTTTTTTGCTTCTTTTTGTTTACTTTGTTTCATGTTCATATAATTTAATTACATTAGGATAGTTACTGTTAACACACAGAGAGATCTATCTATCTATCTATCTATCTATCTATCTATCTATAAATATATATAAATGTGGCTGAATTTCAATTAGGTAAGAGAGTTAGGAAAATAAGATCGGTACTTTGGAAAAAAATAAGCAAATGGTAAAGCCACAAGAAACAAAGGAATAGTGTAAATCATTTATACAGATGAATTAAAGTAACTCACAAAGTTAAACCATCTAGGCAACTTTTGAAGCTCTATATTTAAACCATGCTTTATCAGGGCTTCTGTTCCAAAGACTGTGATCTATTATATCACACTTGCTGCATGAACCTGTCCTATTGCTAAAGATCACACTCTAAGGCTATTCTCTACCATTCCACGTTATCAGGAGTTATAGACAAGTGGTGGCGAACCTATGGCACACATGCCAGAGGCAGCACTCGTAGCCCTCTCTGTGGGCATGCACGCTGTCTCCCCAGCCCCAACTCCTCCTGTGGCCCCCTCACCAGTAGGCCCCCCGGAGAGTTGCCCCTGGGCGCGGCCCGCACGGAGCAGCACAGTCAAGGACATGGCAGCCGGGCAGCAGGGACAAGACTCTGCCCTTGCGCGCAGATGATGTTGCGGGGTGCGAGCGGAGGGCATGGCTGCCATGGTGCTGCAGGGCCGCCTGGGCGACCTGTGGCGGGCCATGGAGGCAGTGGGTGGCCCTGCAGGCGGGGCGGAGCAGGCAGGGCGGGAGGCGGAGTGAGGGCGGGTTTTGGGCACTCGGTCTCTAAAAGGTTCGCCATCACTGTTATAGACGGTTCCTGGAAAAAAAGAATCTTCACAGACAGTCTCATCTGTTAAGTTTTTTTCCCCATGGTACAAAAATACAAATCTGCTTTACCATAAGCAGGCTTTCTAATTACGTTCAGCATTTTCTAAATGTTTGTTTTTAGATTTGCTAGCTACTTCTAGGAAAATATGACTTTATATGTTGGCTGTGTAATTTTTTTTTAATTTCAAGGTAGGTGGATCCCTGTGAGATGAAATAAAAAAATTCAGATCACTTCCAGACTGTCTTTGTTCATTGACAGAGTTTCACTAGTTAGATGGGTAACCATATAAAATAAAACTAATGAAACATCATTGGCACTGGACCAAGACATAATGGAATAAGATTGTACCTGCTTGTGAAAAGCCAGGATGGGTACTGCATAAAACTGGTGAGGTTGGGGGGTAGTTGCATAAGGTACAGGGTATTACTGAGAAATTCTGTTGACTGGCCCATGTCCTATCAACAGAATTGGGGGACTCCCAGCAGGACACCTCACAATGATGAACCAGGCAGCTAGATTTGATTCTACAAGGAGTTGTCGAATAAATATGCTAATGTAAGGTTTTTAGGATATAAAGACCAGCACTTGAATTTGGTCCAGAAGCCAGGTTTTATGCTGTTGGTATATATTGATAGTGTTGACCTGCCAACAGTGTAGCTGCTGCATTTTGTACCAGCCAAAACTTCTGGGTCATCTCCAAAAGCAACTTGAAAATTGCATTGCAGAAGTCCATCCAACCAACTGGTGATTAAAGTATCAGTCATTGTGACTAAATCATCCTGGTTCAACTAGAGTCATAACTGTCCCAAAGATGCTTTGGAAAAAGTAACTGGACCTTCTTTGTTGTTTATCATGAAGACTTTGCTTCTGAAGAAGCTTCTTGGATGAAAAACGAAATGTCTTCAAGGAAAAAACAAAGAAAATCCAATTGCCTTTTGGAAAGCACCTTTGGGACAACCGTGACTGGATGACTGAGAATCTCCAAAGACATTTAGGGTCCTTGGTGCTTTCTGAGCTTGCTTGTTTTGTTGCAGGCATTTCATTACCTAAACTAGGTAACATTGTCAGTGCCAGTAAGGAGTGCAGTTTGCTCTCAGTTTAAATTCTAGTGGCTTGCCTGTCAGTGTTGGTGGGGGTGGTCTTGAGATCCTTTGATTGGGCTATTTGCTATTGGCTTCTTTGGCAGTTTCTTGATTGGGGTATTGTTTACTTGATTGCTGGTCTAATGTTAACCTTGGAGTTAATCTATGCTGATCTAGGTGCTGATTGCTGGTGGAGAGGTGCTTGGGTCTTTTTGTTCCTTTTTGGGCTGGGTGATAGTCTCTTTTGCATAGTCTATAGATATTGTTAATGTCTATGTGTCTATTGATGGCTGATTTGTTAGAGTGCCAGGTTTCTAGAAATTCCCTGGCATTTTTGGATTTGGCTTGGTCTAGGATGGTCACATTTTCCCAATTGAAACTATGGTTAAATCTTTCTATATGTTGTGAAATTAAAGAATTTTCATCATGTCTTCTGACGGCTAATTGGTGTTCATGGATGCGTTCTGCCTGTTTGTCCTATATAGTGGTTTTTGCAGTCCTTACATTATATGTTGTATAATGTATAATGTAGATGATTCCTGTTTTTCTTCTAAGGTTGTTGGATCTTTTGATCTGCTTAGGATGTTTTGAAGGGTTTTAGTTGGCTTGTGTGCTACACTGATTCCATGTGGTTGTAGTAGTCTGTTGGTAGTTTCTGAGATATTCTTGATGTATGGCAGTGTAATTCTTTTTAGGGTTTGTGTTGATTGTGCTGCACTGGGTTGGGTAGTCAGGGACTTTTTAATAAAGTTGCGTGGATATCTATTTTGTTGGACTATGTTGTATAAATGCATTGTTTCCTTTTTATGCTGTTCCACACAAGCCAAGTCCAAAAATCAGAAATGTTGATATTTTGTTCCTGTTCATAACTCCTTGATTTCAGGATAATTGTTGGAGTTTCCATGACAAGAGTGGGCAGGGCTCCAACCAGTGATAGTTGAGGCTACCTTTTCCTTTCTTCCACTCTATTAATAATAATAATAATAATAAAGTTGGAGGGGACCTTGGAGGTCATCAAGTCCAACCCCCTGCTCAGGCAGGTAACCCTATACCATTTCGGACAAATGGCTGTCCAGTTTCTTCTTAAAAACTTCCAGTGTTGGAGTATTCACCACTTCTGGAGGCAGGTTGTTCCACTGGTTAATTGTTCTAACTGTCAGGAAGTTCTCCTTAGTTCTAGGTTGCTTCTCTCCTTGATTAGTTTCCACCCGTTGCTTCTTGTCCTGCCTCAACAATTAAGTCATGGATCAAGTGATTTTATTACAGACTGATCTAGCATTCAGCAGCAACCATTGACAGCGCAGGGCATTAAAAGCCTGAATTGTTATTAAAATGTTCAGTATTTATATAAACAACTGATACTGAATTACCTATATCTCTTTCATTTTAATGCCAGATTTTAACCTGGTCATTATTATGAAATGGACAATTTTTAATAATGTTAAATATTTCCCATAAATATGGAAATATATGTAAAAATCAAGAAAGATATTTTAATATTTGTTACAAATATTAAACATTAACATGCAACTGGAAATGAGAGTCATGTGATTCATCTCATTTTGCTTATTCAGAAAAAAGAACCTTGATGTCAATTTCACTCTTGAATCCTATTTTGTTGGTTGATCTCTAATTCTGATTACTGTTTGATACAAAGTTTTGGAATACACTAATAATCTAATATCCCAAATGTATTCATCATTTTAAACTTATTTGTTCAAGGGGAAAATTAGAAATATCAACATCCTTTCACTATACCTCTGAGGGGTTTTCATCTCTCAAGAGTGGGAAGTTGTCCACAAGGGGGAGAAGAGATTGTAACATTTTTCTAACTATTCTGCAAGTGGAGTTATACTTACACATTTCTGGATTCGTCATTTGGTAGCTAAAGTTGTTTTATTGTTATTATGGATTATTTTCAAATTACTTTTACTAGAAGGTAGATGAGTAAGTCATGAAAAAAAGATATAAATGTGATACCAATGACCACCAATGATAAGGATGATTTTTGTTTTACATTTGATATTAACAGTGAAATCTTATGCAGGATGTAAGAGGTTTTTTTATTCTATTGGATTTATTCCTTGATAAGCATGCATAGGATTTAAATCTTTTTACATCATAATTCATGTACTATCCAATTAAAATGACATTTGCTCTTTTTTTTCATAGATAGTCTTTCCAATCCTCCTTCCCCATAATAGATGCATGACACAGAATTGTGTGAATCATAAAATGTATTTTAAATATAATGAAAGTCTAAAATAATATAGTATTGAAACACTATGTTTATTTATATCACACCTGAAACTTCCAATTCCAGCCATTCTGTTTTATAGCTGCGTATCTTCTACCCCAGGCCCAAATTCCATCACTTGCTCAGCATTCCAGATTCACTGATTATGTTTGTATGTTGAGCAGGCGGGAGATCCTTTTTTTTTTTTCATTTCTATATTTTAGTACTTGCTGAGGCTTCTGACTTTTACACATAGTCCTCGATTTATGACAACAATGGAGCCCCAAAATTTCTATTGCTAAGCACGACAGTTGTTAAGTGAATTGTGCCCCATTTTACAGCCTTTTTTGCCACGGTTGTTAAGTGAATCACTGCAGTTGTCAATAATTCATGCGGTCCTTAAGCAAATCTGGCTTCCCCCATTGACTTTGTTTGTCAGAATCAAGCTAGGAAGGTTAAAAGAGTTATCACATGATCCCAGGAAACTGTAACTGTCATAAATTCATGCCAGTTCTCAAGTGCCTGAATACTGATCACATGTCTATGAGATTACTGCAACAGTAATGTAAAAACTGGTCATAAGTCATGTTTTTCAGTGCTGTTGTAACTTCAAACGGTCACTAAACAAATGGTTGTAAGTTGAGGAGTACCTGCATATTGGCTGTAGCATTATGATTCAGTCTTAGAAAGTTGAATTCAGTTTTAGTATACAGGATGTGTTTCAAACACTAAATCAAGGCTTTCTGTAAAGAATGTTTAATTCCCATGTGCCATCAACATATTGGTCTATTAGAGGTGAACATATTGGTCTTTTACAACCATTTATTTATTCAACAGCACTTATTATCAATCCTCACACGTCTTGTAGCATGCCCAGGTTCATGTGATCAAAATTCAGGTGCTTAGCAACCAGCATCATATAAGAGGATTGCAGTGTCCAGAGGTCCTGTGAACATCATTTGTGACCTTCCCAACCGAATTCTAACGAAGTCAAGGGGAGAAGCTGGATTCACTTAACAACTGTGTGATTCACTTAACTGCAGTGACTGTTTAACAACTATGGCAAAAATGTTATAAAATCAGGCATTACTCCCATGATTGCCTTGTTTGGGCAATTCTGGTCCCAATTGTGGCCATAAGCCTAGGACTACCTATAAACAGCACTGTTCTAAAAAAACCCAAACCCCTTTCTTTATTGGAATGTCTAACCTAGGACTTATTTATTCCTTCCTGAATAGATGTTTGGAAACTGGACCTTTGGAACACTGGTGTTCACAGTACTGGTATTCACTGTTACATTAAAGGTATAATCTTCTAAAACATCAAAATATAGTCCAAATGATATGGATGATATTTAAGAAAAAGTAAAGTTTATAAAGTTTATAAAGATATTCGTGGCATGCAAAAGGTAATAAAAGCTGTGGTATTTGTCAGAACTCTTTGATTATTTAGTCCTTTAAGAAGATGAACTTTTAGAAATCATTGGTAGTAATGTTGATCATAATGAGACTTGTTACTGCTGTAAGTCAAGCAAATTTTAAAAAAAGCCGGTGAAATTAACTACATAAAGTGCCTCATCTTATCAGCTCTTTATAAAAAGAATTTCTATGAACTGTTCTGTGTTTGGCTTTCAATTAGATTTGAATGCTTGGAGCTTTTAGAAGAAACTATCAATAGCCATCTCAGTGGTAAACAAAAAATAATTTTACAATTGCAGCTTCTGAGGAATATGATGTAGAGAGAGCTGAGTAAGGAAGTGCATTTTTGGCTCATGAAAAAATAAATTTGATACGAAAATGAAAAAAAATTACATGGTATGGGAACAGAAAATGTAGGGGGTGAAATAGACTGATAACTGCTAATACAATTTGCTGCAATTTATATACAACTATATTGTATTGCTTAAGAGTACTTTTCAGCACTTTGGTTTAGATAGCTAAGAACAAATTGCTCAAAAATCCAGGATTCCACAGGTTAAGGCCATCGTAAAGCAACTGAATATTTATATAGTCTCCTTTCCTTTAGACCCTGAAATACTGATATTAGTATCTTTCTATACAGCTTGCACTGGATACTCACTATTGGACATGGATTAACCACTTTGTGATCTGGGGATCACTACTTTTCTACATTGTCTTTTCTCTTCTCTGGGGAGGGATCATTTGGTAAGAAACCATTGTGAATTATATTTAAATCCCTTTGTCTGTTGCATGTAAAAGTTCAGACATCTAGGGGTCACATTGTGTATCTAGGCCAGTGGTGGCAAACCTATGGCACGGGTGCCAGAGGCGGCATTCAGAGCCCTCTCTGTGGGCATGTGCGCTGTCACCCCAGTCCTAGGCCTTCAGCTGGGTTTTATAAAAACTTTTTGCTTTAGGCCTCCGCCACCATGTGCAAACAAAAAAAAAGATTCAACCACCGCAGCCACGCCCACCCAATTGGCCACACCCAGCTAATGGGCCACACCCAGGCAATGGGCCACACCCACCTGGCACTCGATGATGCAGAAGTGGGTTTTGCACACACACAAAGTTAGTTCCTAATTGCTTCTACTCCCTTTTCTTGTTATTTTTCTAGGTTCTAATGGGGCCCTAGTTGTTAGCCCTAGCTCCAGAATCTAGTTGGGAGAGGACTTTCTAATATCTATGCTTGAGTCTCAGTAAAACCCTATTTATTTACTTGGAAGAAGTGTATACACACAAAAATAGCTTGTTATTATTTTGTGTGGGAATTGAATGTACATGAATTATGTGTGTATTGCATTAATTTTCTTTATCTAGATTGTAGCCAATCTAGATAAGGTTTTTTAAAGGTTTCTTTTAATCCCACCTTTATTATTTTTTTATAAATAAGGCAACAACACTGTGAGTTGTATTGAGAGAATGACTGGCCGAAAAATCATTTAGTTAGCTACCATGCCTAAGGAGTTGTTGTTGAGTTCTAGAACTCAAAGTCTCTTAATTTCTACCCTTATAACTTAACCACTAGACCAAACTGGCTCTCTGAAGTTGCTTGCAAAATAATTTTTCTCCTAGCTTAGGGAAGACTATACTGCCAATGTAAATACGCCCATTAAAGAGACAGGTTAATAGAAAATAGTCATTTTAGTTATTTATCTCCATGCAGAACAGTAATATCTAGTGAAAACATAGTATTTTGAGCTAACTAGTCTAGGAATGTGGAGATGGAATATAATAATAAAACATGCAAATTGAAATCACTATTGTTTTAATTCACGTCTTCCACCCCTGACAGTATTTTACTCTTCATCCATTAGGCCATTTCTCAACTACCAGAGGATGTACTACATATTCCTGCAGATGCTATCTACTGGTCCTGCATGGCTGGGCATTATTATGCTTATAATTATTAGTCTTCTTCCAGATGTGCTGAAAAAGGTTCTGTGCCAACAGATATGGCCCACAGCAACAGAAAGAATTCAGGTAAAAAAATAGCTGTCTTATTTTTACAGAAAATATCTATCTAAATATCTCTGATTTTATTGCTTAAATTTTTATTGAATCAGTAAAATACTGAGAATAAAACTATTGTAATATTTTACATAGTAGTTTATTTTACACATGATTGGAATATAATGTATATGATTGGGAAAAGAAAAAAAAATACAATAACAACAAACAAATCACAAAAAAATCATCTTAAGAAGAGATATAAAATTGTAAAAATCCATCCCCAATATTTCAATCAAAAAACTTGTATAAATAGATATAATTTACTAGGAATTACATTTATACTGTATTCCATAGTCTTGCTACATGGAGACCAAATGTGAACAAAACAAACTTTAACTAAAAGACTCTTCAAAGAGTTTTCTACTATTTTTTATTTTTTAAACTACTATTGTTCCAAAGAAAAATGCATCTTAGTTTTGCTGCAGACACTTTAGCAGCTAAAAAAAAATAGCATATATTTGTTTCCAAGGAAAATGTATAATAAAATTACATTATTATTAATGATTAAAGACTATCGTATGATCTTCATTTTTCTGAAAATATTAAAATAATTAAATTGCCATTACCATTATAGGTATCAATTAAAATCCTTCCAGCACAGATTAGAAAGATTATATTTAATGTCATGCAACTTAAAAGGCTATAGTAACATATTTTGATATTATATTCAATTTTCTGCCAAATAAGCTAGAGACTATATCTTTATGTATTCATGTTCTATAAAATTTATAAAATTATTTCTATTTTGGTTTCTTATTGTAATTGTGTAAACCAATTCAATCAGCTGTGATTGTCTCCATGGACATGCCCACAGCCACAGAGTTGAATGTATGATGGGTTGAATGGATTTGACATCAGTGTATCATAACTTCAAAAGCTAGAAGTATCACTGCAGTCAAAGGCATTGTACCCAAAATCAAAAATCTGTTACCCTGATAATCTAATTATTTCTTAAATCACCCTTTAAAAATCAAATCTGCTCTAAACTTCAAATATCTATAAAGTGGTATGCCAAATTAGGAATAAAAACACTAACTGCTTCTAATGTTTTATCTAACCTCCAATAAAGACTTCAGAACAATGCATTCCAAAACAGGTCCACACATTATTCCTGCCTTCCCTTTCCTACATGTTGTTGAAATTCCCTGTTGGATTTTGTGGGATAACTATGCACACCTCAGGCAACTGAGCAGGTTTTCTCACCAGTCAGAAACCAGCTTGGCCAAACGTCAATCAGAAGTCAGGATGCCTGGCTATAAAATCCTTGTTCCGTTGCCCATGGTCTGTTTAGCAATTACTTTATTTTTGAAGATGCCAGCCATAGATGCTGGGAAAACATCTGTTCTCAAGACCATGGTCACTAAACCCTAAATCCCAATATTGTGAAGAAATCCTCCAAACAATAAAGCACAGTGAATTCCAAAGCATGATGTTCAACATCCAAGTTTCCAGTTAATCTGAAATGTCATAAGTGGGAGGAGACAGGAATGGAAAGGCTAAACTAGGCATTCTGATCTCAAAATCTGACATCAGATTTATCATCATCTATATATTTTCCCATGAATTTAATGACAGTAATTTCTCTAAATAGTCTGACAGATAAAAGAATCTGACATTATTCAATGTTTGCCAAAGTGATACAAAAATATATTATGACTCTTGGTTTTTCAGTTAAGCTCAATGTATCCAGTAGGATAATCTATTTTTAAATGTAATACAATTTATCTATGTTGATATTTCAAATATATGGCAAACCTATATGAATAAATTTAAATAAATGGCCTTGTTATCTTCAAATTGTTGCTTAGAGATTATTTTTAGGACATTATGTGAAAAAAATAAAATCACACTATGCTATATAAATTGCATTGCATTAAATAATCTGAATGGCCTATGATAGTAACTGTTATAGAACTGAAATTGAGCTCCAGTACAATGAATTAAATATGTAGTAATACAGTAAGTAGAAGAAGCAAGAATTGTTTTTAGCATGTTACACTTGCCTAAAGAACTAATGAATGCAGTGGTATAGCTGAGTCGTCATGTATAGGATTACAGTAATAATGAGGATATTGTACTATATTCATAAAGATATCTGGTGTACAAGTTTGAGGGACTTCTCCGTGATTTGAATGTGCACCTTTCTATATGCATTACATTGTCATTGTTTCTTTGTAAGCCTTTGGGATTTAATCAGATTTATTCCTTGTGTTTCTTCTTTTCCCACTCTCAATACACTCCTGTCTTCCATACTACTTTTTCTAAATAACTGCTACCTTGCTTTAAACTAAAAATGATGTACACGGGTACTACCATCAATCTTCTTGGGAAATCAGACTAAACACCAGTGCCTTTCTGTTGAGCAGTCTACCATCTTTATGCTTTCTCAGACTTCAAGCAGTCTAAGTTTCTAATGGAGCAAAAGGTGATTTTTTTCCTGCCTTTCTGCATGCGTGGTCATATCATTGAGAAGATGTTAGAAAGTGCATTCAGAACCACAACATATCAGTCATAATCCATCTTTTTAATGGAACATTAAACAACAATTACAATATTTTTATAGATTTTTTCTTTGCATTTCCAAGTGAACAATATATGTAACTGTATGCATGTATTCTTTATCATTGTATATAAATAATACAATATCCATGTTGTGTTTATTCTTTTTTAGTAATTTAAATAGTATCCACAGTTGCTAAGCATAGATGTGATGGGGATTCCTGAATGCTATTGTTCATTGTAACCGTGAACCATGATTGCCATTATATGAACATGTCTGTCTAAATCTATGGATTCAAAGAATGCTGACTTTGAAAATGATTCAAAATGTTTTGGCTTTTGCATGAGGCTAGCATCTCCCATTTATTAAAGGATCCAGTTTTTTCAAACGTCCAGGTGTTTCGGTGATGGGAGAAGATGCTAAGAAACCTTGTTAGAATTAATGTGAATCTTATAGCAGGAATACTTTTTTCAGGTTAGTGTAAAAACCATAAAAAAACTGGGATTCGTTTAATGGATGGCAGAGAGGTGCCTTGCTGAAGTTCACCCGAAGTTCCAAATACTGATGCTAAATCATTTTCAAAGTACGCCCAGAACTATTGTTTCTTTCACTCTAATTTCCCTTTGCTTACCAGCATGTCATCTTTCCTAATTTGATGAAATTGGTGATTTTTTTCTAAACAATAAACTAAGCTTTGATCTAATCTTGTAAAGTAGGATCAGGAATCTCTATACTTTATGTTTGGCCTGTATTTCATATTGATATTCTTTCACTTTTCATTTTCCATTTTGATAGTATAAGTCTGATCTTTTTTTCCAAGTTCATTACAGTTTTTATGTTGTTCAACTTCTGAGTGGTAAACAAGAACATTTATTCTTAACATCTAAACTTGAAAGAGGAAGATTGTCCCTTTTTTCCCTTTTTTCTTTCTTTCTTTTCTTTTCTTTTCTTGCTGTTTTGTTTCCATGGCTTAATAAAGCGTGTATGACAAACTGCATTGGGCTATTAAATCAATGAAGCTGCAAAAGCTTTGGAGGAATCTTTTTCTTTTGGTAAATTATTAGCCAAATCCTATTTCCTATGATAATTCTAGACAATTACATAAAGCTAATTAGAATTTCTTCTAACTTGTATCTTTTTCTGACAATTATGCATTTATCTCATTTATCCTGCTGTATATAATTATTCTGGTTTTACAAGATGGGTATTAATGTATCTTCATTTCTACTTAACATTTTCTTCAAACATTATTCTTTTGCTATAAGCAAAATATTATTCCTTTAATTCAAATTTTCTTTTTGATTAAAATAAAAGTAAAAAGCAAGCATTAAATCTGAAAATAAATGTCAGATTTGGACTTCTGGACAAGATATAAATCTATAATTACTTTTCTGCATGTGGCCTATGGGTGTCTTCATTCTATCTTTTGCATGATCATGTAAGGTATTATCCTTCCATTTAAAAGTATCACAGGTTTTTCCAGAAATACAGTCTAAATTGCAAAGGGAACCAACGCACAGGATCACAATTTTTAGTCAGACCTAATTTCAGCAGGAATGGTGATGGTTAATGCTGAATCACTATATATTTGAACACTGATCAGTTACTATCTTCTGAAGTTCATGACTAATATCCACTACAAACTTAAAACTAGAAAATAAAAAAAATTATAAAACCATTTTATGAAAGAATATAAAACCACTGAATTCTAACTATGATAAAACAGTTATTTCTTGATGTTTTTTCCTCAACCTGTCAGGTTTTCATTAGCAGGATTTAAAGATTTTTGCATACATAAGTTATCCTAACATTATTTATATGTTCCTCTTAAGATGTTCATATTGGACCTATTGTATAGTTTCAGTGTTTTTCCTCGTCCTTGCAGAGGAGTTTGAAACATAAATCAACTCTAAATGCTTTGATGAACAACGATGACCCTCTCCTTGAAGGAACCCTTTCTGCTTCCGAGACATAATTAGATCACTGATAGGTAACAGCATTGACCGTGGTATCATTAGGTAATTTCTATTAGTGTGCTGTGATATTTTCAAAGAGAAAACCATTTCCTCCAGAGTTTTTGCTATATTTTCCCAATTTAAGTCTGATTCTTCTATTCTGATTATTATAGTCTGTTTTTGATTAGTTCACCACACAGGTAAGTTTTTAATAATAGAATGTTGTGTGTGGGAGCATGTGTGTGTGTGCATGTATTCTGAAAAAAAAATAGAATTTAAAAGCAAGCTAATTTGTTTTATTTTTTCACTGATTTTAATACGGTTGCATGAACACTTGCAGTTTAATCAAATATGGTATACAAACGACTGTGTGTAAGATGAGTCAAAGAACTTTGTCCCATATATTTTGTGTAAAACTTCCATATATAGTGAATGCTGCCATTCTGTAACATTGGCTGTACCTAACATGATGAAACAAATCTCAAAAGTACCAATGTTCATCTTAAATCTCCAAACATGTATATAAGCAAAAACTACAGACTTCAAAGCACTTGGATTGACCTTACAGGTGCACAGGAGTATGCAGTTCTGAATAAATCAATTTCTCTAAGAAATATTTTCACACGTTATAAACAAGGAACAAGAAGCAGAAATACAATTTCACGTATGTTGTATTGCATAGATTATAATGTGCAAAGAAGCACTTGGAAAGATAAACATATCCAAGGTTGTGTGAAACATTCGGAAGAAAATTTCCCAAAGCAAATTAGCATGAATGAAGTAGCTCTTCCTGATGCTTTAAAGCAGCCATATCTTCTTGGACGACTTGTATAGCTTCTTTAACAGCTGTCACTAACTGCTCCCATACAGATAATCCCACCTTTGGGATCACTACTAAGGCAAAACAATTGTGCATGTTCTTTGCCTTTAGACAGTTAGGAACAGCTGCTAAAACTTTTCCCAACTGCTTTGTGAATTACTCCTTCAGATATTTGTGCAACCTTAAATTTTTCCCTGCAAATTAGGGATGGAGATAACTTGAAGTGCTTTGAGAGCTAAATGCAATGAAATTTCATTTTAATGTATGCTGATTAGTGTACATTCAAAGTGACAATGAAGTTATTGTGCTATTCTAGTAGCCCAAAACAGAGTTTCTAAAATGACCTGACCTTATTCTTTTTCATTCGAAAGTAGTCTAATCTGGTTTGATATCTGCATTTGGAAATTTAGATTTGGAAAAAAATAGAGCTTTCATTTCCCACAGCATGACAAAGAAATATAGCATTTTTGTTTTTTAGCAGTTATAAAATATGTAGAAAAGCTAAATTATCAGAGAATAAGCGTGCAATTTTTTTATTTTTAAAAAGAATTTATATTTTGAGATAGAATATACAGTAGAAACATTTGTAACATTAAATAGCCTATCTGATGATGAAAATCCACGCAAAATGTCAGATAAATTACGGTAGTTTGGGGGAAGATCATTCCACAGAATGAGTATACGTAAGATGTTCTTCCCTTAATTCAATAGAATTGGTTATCATTTGAGGGAGCACTTTAAGTTAAGTGATTAATTTGTGTTTTCTATAAAATAAATATGTCACTGGCAATCCACTGTAGCTCATAAAGCATTATCACATTGCTCAGACAGGAGATGGGAACAATCAGATGGAAGAAATGCTAAAAACAAAGATTATTTTTCAGATTGTAATTAGAGCAACTGCTAGTCGTATGATGATAAAAATCACTCTGATTTTAGCCACTGGATCCCGCTACCCACCATGATGCTTTATACAAAGGATAATAATTGAGGGAGATACAGTTACTGTAGTTTCACTCCTTGAACCCCAAAGCTGCAGGAAAACACAAATTAAGGCTTTGTGACAGGTCAGACTCCTGAATAAATGAGTTTCTGTTCTCAGACTTTCAGGATTGCAACCATATCTGGTATCACTGTAATAGGTAGAACTTAGAGCACTGTTTGCCAGCCATGGCTTTTTCCAAGTGTACGGATTCCAATATCCTGAATTTTCTAGCCATGGCTCAAAAATCAGGAGGTTGGAATTTGCCTTTGTAGTTTTGGCTACAACGACAAGTTAATTCTTACATGAAAATATCCACATAATTTTTCTCTGTTGAAATTGAAGAAAACTATCTGCAATTTCAGTCATTTCAATATGTCATGATTATGCAGGATCATGTAAGATCCTGTATAAAAAGTGGTTAATTGAGTAGCCATTTGGCCATATTGTCACTTTTAGATAGTAGTACTTAATTTCAGTTGTGATTATTAAAAATATATACATTCCTTTTGATTTTTTGGCAGAAAACATCAGGCCATGATCAGGACCCTATTTCAGAATTCACACCCCTTGCCTCTTTGAAGAGATCAAGATACCAAAGTAATGAATGCAAGAAGTCCTCAGCCAAAAGCTCTCGTTCTCATTCTAAAAAAATAATGTTCACACGCTGGCAAAACTATGATTATTCGATGCTCCCATCTATCTTTGGTTATTCCAACTATTCCAAGCGTTGCAATTCCAGCACACCGTACTACCACCAAAGTGCAGGTTTTGAAACATCTCTGTGACAGATCACCAACTCAAGCCTTTAAGAACTACAGCAGCTCCCACCCCAGCCCACCTGCAAACCAGAAAACGTGACTTTTGCTGCCACATGTAAGATCCTGACAAGCTGAATCAAGAGCGCCTGCTACAAAACCAGGAGTATTGGTCTTTTTTATGTTTTTGAACTATTGAAACAATAGGTTATGTGCACAGTCTGGTACTGTGGAAATAGTTCTAATGCTATTTTCATTCTTGTCAGTCAAAAGCTGTGTGTATTACCTCCATCATCCCTTTTTATTTGTTTGATGGGCCCTGCTTCGATTAGTGACTATCTCTGGATATGAATTTTGAAAAATGGTCAGTCATAAATAATACTTTTGGATGTTCAGTCAGCAAGTATATTCACTAATGCTGCTTCTGACAGTCTGTCCTTTCTTTGCTTTTTCTGTGGGTGTTTCTGCTGTGCAAATCAGCACTCAAAAACAGATTCTAATATCTTTGTATTGTCAGTATAGGACTATATGTTATTTCAAAATATTCTTTTGGGGGGGGCGGTTTAAAGACCAATGTTTTAAAGTATATGTAGTATAATCCTTAAGAAGTCAGTCTGGCTATCAAATGTGTGATGTTGCCAGTACAGCAATTAGACTGAAAGTAATTATTGAACCTTTAAAATTCAGCCATAGGAGATTGTAGTAATAAACAAACCACTTAGTAACTCTAAAGTAGTATATTAGGAAGTGTTCTGCTAGTCTGTGGTCTTATTTTAATTAAGAAAAACAAATAATTGATTATTTAACAAATTATTATTAAAGCAAGTATTTTCTTGTTTTACTTTTAATTTGATCTTAAAAGTAGAAGGGGAATCAACACTAACAAGAAATTTTATGGTATTAACTGACTCTGTGTGTTAGCTAGCATCACCACATGGTGTTTTCCCATTATTTAAATAGGGAGTCAATCATACTTCGAGGGGAAAAAAAAAGCTTTTATACACAGGCTCGTCATTTTCAACAGACAGCTTGTGAGAACCACCACTTGTGACTCTAGTTTGCTGTCTATTGATTTTAATAATAGCAAAGATATACCAGCTTGGTTTAATTTTTCTTCCAGTATTTTATTTAGAGTATAAAAAAGGCTTACAGATTACTGAAACTAACATTGCTGTTTGTGCAAATTCCCTGTTAACTTCCTGAGCAGAGATAGGGACAACAGATATTTTCAAAGGCAATATGTGAAATATGCATTATACCAAAGACTATGAAGAAAAAAGAATCTGGATTGTTCACAGGAGTCCAAGTCTGGTGGAGCAGACAAGATGGGGCAAGTGAGGAAAACAAACACCATAACGCAAATGTCACCCCTTATCTACCTACACATAACAATGTTGTGTTGTAATAAATAGATCTTGTGTTGTAATGTCACAACATAATATCTCATCATTTTTGCATCATGATGTGAGGAACAACCACCAATGAATGTTATCATTTTTATGTTTTCTCATTCCATACAGTTCCCCATATCATAGCATTTCGATAATTTTAAGATGCAAGCAATTTCCATTTCTGGTGTTGCTAATACACTTAAAACACACTTAATATTCTATATTTATTTGACACTGCATACTTGAAGGTTGGGTAGAAAAGTCCCCTACGTAAAACACTGGTTGTAAAATGTACATATATAAATATTTCTTATTTAAAAGAAAATCAACTTGATGTGGGTATTGATTTTATACCTGTGCTAGTGATAAATCTCTGGGTATAATTAGCAAAATTATTTTTAATGTATTTTTTTAGAAATCTAAAAAATGCCTCTGCAATGAAATATTTTTCAATACTGAAGCTCTTTATATATCTGATTTATGCATACATTTGTTAATATATCAATTCTATTTTTAAGTATATGTTTTAGAGGAATTTTTTTATATATATATGAGTTTTTGGAGCTCTAGAATTTAGCTTATAATGGAATTGAGATTGTAGGAACTTTGATGAATGTTAATATTAGACATAGGTTTCATCCAAAGCTGCTGATTTTTATTTTATTTGCTTTTGCTTGTAAATATTGGCTTTGAATAGACAGTCTTACAAGGAATTGCTGCCACCATTATTTTGTATTGTTCCATAAAACTTTGTATCATTTGCTCCGTTACTTTTTCATTTCCATCCATTAGCCTTAAATGGGAAGACTCTTATGGGATTATTGAAAATGCTGCATTCCTGCCCTGCATTCTTAAGAAAGATCTTATGGCAACATTGTTGTATCTCAGCCGTTTCCTTAAAAAAAATTACAGGCTGAAACATTTAATGGTAGTTGTGGAGAAAAAAAATATTAAAATATCTTTTACCACTGAGTTCAAGGGAAATCTGCCAGTGTATATGTGTGTGAGAGTGTATGTGCATGTCAAAAAAGGGACAAATAGTACCCGAGACTGAACAATCAAAACCCTGCCCCCTTTTATCACCCACATAAAAAGAGGCAGGGCTTTAATCTGGCCGTCGCTGATACTTTCTTGACTTTTTTTGTGACTTTTTTGACCCCCCCCTTCTAGGAGCTGATCTTAGACTAAATCAGTTTTTAACATTAAACTCAATAGGCCTCCTATAATGATCGAATCTGGGATTCCATTCATTATATTAAGTTAGGAACAGTTTTGAATTTAATAGCTTCATTTAGTTTTTAAAAATATTTTAGGAAAATGACAAAAGGAAAAGATATATAAGTATTAACTTCAATTTTTCTTCACTGCCTTTCTATAACAGGCATATGTGTAGAATTCAAGTGCAAAGACCTCAGTCAGAATAGAGCCGGAAGGGACCTTTGAGGTCTTCTAGTCCAATCCCTTGCTCAAACTTTATGCACAAAATCTCAATATATGTACACTGGTACACCCAGTATTGAATTCTACAAAATAAATGAGATATGCAGTCATTACTTCTTACCTTGAAGATCTGAAAAACTAGACTGGTTATTGATTCAATTCTATGCTTGCACCACATTTGGTAATGGAAACCTTTTTTGATCTGAGAGGGAGCAAAGGAAATTACAGAAATATTATTTATAGCTGTGGTTCATTTCTATTCACTGTGCATTATACCCCATAATTAAATATTACAAATGAGTAGCAATAAATAATCAATAAAATTAATCAAAACTGATGAAAATCTAAGAAGAGAGAATGCTTCATTTTGTATGATTCCCTCCCCAAATCAGTGCTACCAATTTTTCTGGTTATTTATGTCTATTATTTTGTACAACTACTTGACATAAAAACAAAACCATTTAATCTCCTGATTGCATCAACTTGTTTATTACACATATAATGCAAGAATCAAAGGAAATTACACATTGTGATATCCATAAGATCATGTCAAAAAGCTTTAATGGAATATTGTCAAAAGTATTATAAAAGAATTGTGTGTATGATTGTACATTGTATAATTGCACACATCAGTTTCTATAGCTTTACCTTTGTCAAAACTATACAGAATTTTAAGTATATCTGAAATTCTGTGATGTGCTAACTGTTTTCAGTAATCTTTCAACCTATATTGCAAAGTAGAATTGGCTGAAGATGCTCTTGGGAAAAGCGGAACATAGTTATTAGAAAATTAATCATTAAAATATCTATAGTCATCAGCACTAAATACTGACATGTATTTGTAAATGGTACAGTGATAAGTTCACTTGCCTGATAATTCAGCCTTTAAAATCTCTGTTAATCTATAATACTTCATTAAACGGTTCAAAGCAGTCTCAATTATTAAGATGATATATATAAATATATATATAAATGTAATATATATGTGCATTGATGTAAAGTTTATTTTCTGTGCTGTTTTTAAACTTTCATTTCTGTAGATAACATGAATTCTTTATATCCATATTTTGGGACTTTCTGTAGATTCTATATAAAGCAGTAGATGTTTAAATCTGCTTGCAATAAAATAAAATTTACATATTTGTTTCTGTGTATTGTGTACCAATCTCTGCGGGCATGATGCTCTTAATTTAGATAGGAATTTTTTAATTGTAATAGTAATTTAATTATATTATGCTGAATACTTTTATACTTAATCAGATTTTACTATTGTCTTTTTTTACTATTAGTGCAGAAAAAAATAGAGGTACTTTCAGAAGGCAAAAACACCTGATCAAGCATGATTTTTTCAGTGACTAGTTAAGGAACATGCTTGTTTTGCTAGTTTTGCTTTTTAAAATTAGCAATAACTAAAGTTACAGTGTCTTGATTTGCACAGGAGGGAAAAAAGCTCCACTTTAAAAAAAAAACCTTCATACCTACAAAAGATGAAAAATAAAAATTGAATAAGAGAATTGAAATTGCCAACTTAATTTTTTTGAAGCAATTATTTTTGGCCATTCATAAAACTGCTACTGTTAAGGGCATAACTATTTCAGGTAGTCCTCGACTTATGACCACAGTTGAGCCCAAAATTTCTGTTGTTAAGTGAGACTTCTGTTAAATGAATTTTGCCCCATTTATGACCTTTCTTGTCTCAGTTGTTAAGTGAATCACTGTAATTGATAAGTTAGTAGCCCAGTTGTTAAGTGAATCTGGTTTCCCCATTGACTTTGCTTGTCAGAAGGTTGCAAAAGGAGATCACATAACGTTGGAACACAGAAACGGTCATAAATAGGAACCAGTTGCCAAGCATCTGAATTTTGATCACATGACCATGGGGATGCTGCAAAGGTCATACCTTTGAGAAACGGTCATAAATCACTTTTTTCTGTGCTGTTGTAATTTTGAACAGTCACTAAATGAACTGTTGTAAGTTGAGGACTACCTGTATTAGATAACAAAATGCTACCTGTTGTCCCATCATCTTGGTGGTCATGTGATCAAAATGTGGGTGTTTGGCAAATGGTATTTATAATAGTTGCATTGTCCCAGGATCATGTGATCACCATTTGTAATCTTCCCAGCCAGCTCTAGACAAGCAACTGCATGATTCACTTAACAACTGCAGTGATTCACTTAACTGTGGTAAAAAAAAGT